ACAAGCCATTTACTTTAGACTATGGAGAATCTATCGCCGGCGAGAACAAGTAGGGGACCGGTCCATATAGGCGTGATATCTTCGATTGATTTTCGAATTCCTCTAAAAAAAATTTGACCGCCATTACGAGTCGAGTAACGCGACAACACCGCACAGCAGCTGATTGAGGTCGGCAAAGTCGGTGACGATAATTCAGCGCTGGAAGCATGTGGACACGTACAACACACACAAACATTCATCTCACTGTTACAATCCCACTACTAGCCGAAGCGTGCGATGTTGCCCGATCAAAATTCGACTGTTACCACTGCAGTCACAAGTCCTCCATTATTTATGAACATTTTCTTTAACTATTGTGTTTGAGACCGGAAAAGTACGCCACAACACTTCTAATTTGATGAGAAAAATAATTTGTAAGACGAATGATTTATTTAGTCAATTTTATTTTTATTTTCTGCTGAGTTGTCTACTTGATAGGTTAAATATCCGTAAATTGGAGCGATTTCAAATGCGGAATTACCGAGTTTATAAGTGGCATTTTTTCATACGATTTAAAACGTTAATATGCCGGAAACTTTCACCAAAAATGTTTAAAAGCGTTCTTTTTCAGCACTTCTCTCGTTCCTAAAAATATATAATAATATAATAAATTTACATGCTAAAGTCTCCAGTCCCGCGTTTATCCGATAAATCCGAGGGACATTAAACCGAATAGAGTTTTTCCCTCTGGAGTACAACATGGCTTTGGGTTAGAGATGTCATAAATATTCCAACGTTGACTTCATATTTTTCCCCATTTTTTACTCCATCTTGTGTTGCCGATGGTATCTTCTCGTTTTTTTTCCCTCGAGTGTTCTTGTTTTTCTCCTTTATGTTTCATCTCTTTCTTCTTCACAGAGAGCTGTCGTGAACTACTGGTAGAGCTGGAAGTCTCACTTTTTCACCGATTCACAGCCGAGACCCTCGACTCGCTCGTAAAGACGAGAGGGGAAAACTGTAGCTCCTCGGAGAGTACCTGTGAAAACGGTCTCTCACTCGCGTGACAATGGTTTTCTCACTAACTCAAACTATGACGTTGCTGTGCTCGTGACATGAGGAAGTTGGAAACTATAGGGTTAATATTATGAGGAAAAAATGGAACAGGGGGGGCTGTGATAAACTGGGTTATAAAATTTCCAAAGCTGGCGGAGAGAACGATATTAAACTTGAAACGAGTTGAGTTTTTTTTTCTGTAGTGAACAATGTGACGAAAAAAAACAGATTATCTTTTGAAAAAAATGTCCTTTCAAATTTCAAATTTAGATTATATTTCAAAATTCAAATTTCAGAATATGTTCAAGATCAATAATTAGGTGAGTCGCCGTAGGATGATAATTTGATGTGAATGAGTGTTAAAATTTGTTAAAATTTCCAGATTTTTTACCTCAGATTTCAGTCTTTGGTAAAATTTCACTTTCATCGGTCCAGTACAGTAATTCTTACTCTACCGACACGGTAATTTTTCTTTTTACCAGGATAAAATTTTTCTGACGCAGAATAAAATTTGATCATCATATATTAATTTTTCCTAAATTTCGGGATAGAAATGAGGAAACGATGACTCATGATACACTTTTATAGAACAATAGGAAGATTATCATCAAAAATTTCTCTCCGTGTACTTAAGTATAGGGGAGGGTGGGGTAAAACGGACACTTTTGACTTTTTTGAAATGTTAATGAGGGGTTGAAATGTTGATAAAATTAAATAATTTTTTTTTTTCAGTACAAAGAACAATTCTTTCCCTTTGTGACGCGCCTAAACTAAGCTCAATTGATTAATTTGTTTCTGAGTTATGAATAATTTTAAAAAAGTCCAGTGTCCGTTTTACCCCAACCGCCCCTAGTATATGCGTTCCTCCAGTTGAGTATAATCAACTGGAGGAACCCCTATAACTCAAAAACACCAGGAGAATCCTAGCAACTCGACTGTACAATCCGTGATGAATATGATGAATCTCCCGAGAATATTTGTACAAGATTTTCACCCGAGAATACAAAATACTGAAATACGGGTGGTTCTGCAAATAGCTGTAGCTGTTGCACCGCCGGATAGCTGGACGGATAGAGGATTCACGGAAATAAACAGGGAGAGAGAGTTTAAACGAATGAGAGGGTTGAACTGAATTGAGCGGGTCGAAATTTATTCAGTATCAGGAGTTGTTCTGTCATTTGGCTCTGCCACAGTTGGAATACACCAACGCTCCGGGAATAGCTGATTCGCTGCGATATTGATGAACTGTCAATTGATATTCAAATTTCTTCATCAGTTGTGATGACAGATAAAAGGTATCGGTGGATGCATGATTCCGCTGTGTGGGGAATGAGAAAGTGCTTTGTTATGCAAATTTCATGAACTCGTTGTACTATTTCGATTGAATTCATGATATTCAGGACTGCAGTGAGAGCACTTCGCAGAGAAAACAAGTTGATTTTCAGAGACATGTCACTCATTTTTGGACTACATCGCTAATTGTTATTATCTATTTTTTATCATCTATTTTCAGTAATAAAATCTCTTATTATCAGGGTTATTTTGGTCGGTGTCCGGAATCACCAATGATTGGTAATAGATTCCTGAATATCAGTGACATGTCTAGGAAATGAGTCACATTCCGGTATAGACCTCGATTACGATGTTCGCACAGAAGCTTTTAATCCTAGATTGGTCACCCTATGAGTGAAATTACAATTTACTGTCTAACCGGAAAAATTAAAAAAAAATAGACTTCGTCAATTGAAGTGTCTAAAAAATTATAGTAGTTTTTAGAACAACATATTTCCCAAAATTCCTAAAGAGAATAGATTATTTCGGACAGATGAATTATTTTTTCTCATGTTAAATGAAATTGCTCATGACGCGACGTTGCCGGAAACTCACTAAACGCGCCCGGGCAGTGTAGAGTGAATTCGGCAACGCTAAAGCCCAATAACGCGGCGGGGAATTCCCGTGGAGGTGACCACAGTCGCAGGGTCGCGTTTGGTGTTAATGTTATATTCTCCCCGTGTCCAGAAAAGAATGATATCTCACAATTACAGGATTTTTATCCCTTCTAAGCGTTTGTCCAAAAACGTCTTAAAAAAGGGGACAAAAACGTTCGAATTTTCGTCTTTGCGTCTCAATTTGAAACACAAGTTTTCTTTTCAAAAAATCTTCTTTTTATGATCTTCAAATTAATCCCCCCTCCCCCACGTCATTCTTAGATCTTGAAACCGTCCAAGTAACTACCTGTACTCATCGGAAAAATGACACGATGTGGCCTTTACAAGAAAAAAAAATCGCCAACTTTTGTTAAAATGGCAGCCCCGAGCTCCTTTTTTCACCTCATTACGAACCGCGTTTTGTCATCCCCCAGGACTGGTAGCAATTTCTTCTGGCACATGTTCCTATTCACTGGAAAGTACAGAAGGACGAAGATCAAAGACACGACTCTCCCTCGGGTACGATGAGTGTGCGTCGATAGAAATGTCCCGAGAGCTCTCTGTAAATCGATCGACAAGGCCAAGGAATAAAAAAGACAAAGGAGAAATAGCGCCCAAGCAACGGGAAAACCAAAGTGGAGAGGAAAGTGGCGGTGAAAATTCGTTGTACAGCGACCATAACTCAGTCTCAAAAGAAATGTCAATATATTTCGATCGTCCTTTTTACAAAAAATGCAGAAGTCAAGATGAGGATCTTTATTTGATTTTCAGGAGATTCAAGCATCTTTTAGAGTTTGGTACAGATCACGCTATAGATTTAATCATTTTCAGTCATTAAATTTGTCAATCAAATTCAGCGTCATTAAAATTACATTTTGCACAGAATTATTGTTTTTTTAAACATTCGTTGTTTATAAATGTTTAATTGATTGTTTAATTGTCTAATTGATTGTTTAAACTTTCGAAAATCTTATTTCTTTAGGCATGAAATCGATGGCTGGGAAATTCTGACTGTAAATCAATTTTTTACGATTCCGAACTAATGATTTTTATTGTGGAAAATTGAATGTTTATAAATTATTGATAGAAAATGCTCGTAATTTTCAAAAATTGCAATTTGTAAATTATTTCATCAATCTTCCTCCAAAAGTAAACTTTCTATTTTTTTTCCGATTTTTAAAATGTTTTCTAGCAGTTCAATATCGAGATTGAAGTGCAGGCCTGCAAAGTTTAAATAATGAAATCATTATAAAATCTCCGGAAACTTGGAGTCAAATGGGGTTTAAATAAAAGCTCTGATGTTCGACTAAAAAAGTAGAAAAGCATTTCACTGGAGGAAAAATAGCCGAAGTACTTGGATATTCGTAAGCTGAAAAATCTCTTAACCTTTTTGATGATTGAAAATCATCAATAATCAAATTAAAAAAATTACAAAGATATGAACACAAAAAATGAAATATTTGCATAAATAATGTGCAACTGAGTTGAGTTATCGTAGAAATATGTCCTTTCCGTTAATATCTTCGCCTAAATACCGATCCTCGTTGACAAAGAAAAATGTCAACTAATATTTCCCTCTTGAGGAATTAATTTCCGAGAATAAAAATTCCATCGCAGAATAATCCCGAATATTCAAACAACGGCTTATCCGAAAATCTAAACTATCTCCTCCTACCCACCAACACGCTGGAAAAAGGAATGAATGAGAAGGGAAAAAAATATGTCGACAGCCTTGAGATATTGGAAGCTAACACATTGCAAAAAGTCACTGAGAGTCGGAAGAAATTGAGTCCAGCTTTAATAGTTCACCATTGGCTCGAGCGATTCGAGGCCATAATGCTTGGTATTTTCGATCGCTTCCCCCAATTGGATTTCCCAGATATTCCCGATAAATTTCACGTCCACACCTAGAGCCCAGCCATTAGTTAGGCTTCGCACATCAACGACGATAAACATCTCCGGTATTCTATTGCAAATTGCCAGCACGATTTGGAATTAACTAATTGAAATTCATTGAGATACTTGCGTTTTATTTTCCAGGGTCCATTAGCAATATCGATGGGGCGGAATATCACTGCAATAAAACGGCTGTACGAAAGGTCATCAGCGGAGTGGTTGGAGCTGCTAGCTCTGTTACGTCGATCCAGGTGGCTAACCTATTGCGTCTCTTCAGAATACCACAGGTCAGTGATTTGGACTCAAAGCATTGTTAATTTGAACCCTGTGGTTGCAAATCCCTCCGGATACAATACAATATTAGTTTCTCTATTTGAGATGGATAAACTTGCTCCTACTTCACGAATGTGAATTCCTGGTAGGGGAGCTGTGGCATGTACCGCCCACCTAAGGGAAATGAATCTGTTTCCAGCTCCGCACTCTAAATACAAGAAGTCTTAACCGGTTAGAATGGGTTCTTCGAGGTGTTTACTCGAAGATGTGAAGAGGACAGATTTTTTATTAACATTAAACATATTTAATTATGTTATTCACTTGCCATCTGCCAGTGAGCGATGGAATCGAACTTTGAGGGTAATACCGCCCGGCATGCGTCCAATACCGCCCACTTTGTTTTGATGACTTTTTGAGAAATGCAGACCAACTGTTATAATTTTTGCTATTTTCATTCTTCGTTTCCATTCTTTGGCTCCATCTTGAGAACGATTTCACGTGAATAATAATAAATTATCCTGAATTTACCCGATGTTCCAGTGGCCACCGAATACCCCAAACAATCGAGCTGTCACTCGACCGCCGCTGCGCCGCTAGGCGGCATTACCCACAAACTCTGGGCGGAATTACCCACAACCGCAGAGGCTGATAAAATAGCCAATAACAACTGATGAAAATATTTTTCTGCTATCGAAAAGGTCGCAATGAGTATGGAAATGTATAACGAACATATATTTCGCACTCCATTTAATTATGGACCAACTGGCAATTTAAAAAATCTCAAATTCTGGGGTCGAAATATTTTAAGAATTCGGTAGGAAATGATTTTGATTTTTTTAAACGATATTTCCACGGGAGAAAATTGAACATTTATTTTGAAATTACTTGTTGTTATCAAATATTTGGATAATAAAAAAAGAAAAAATTGTTTCTCTCAGCCTGTCCTGAGAAATACGGGTGGGCGGTACAGACACCCGCTCCCAGGAAATATTTCCAGCGAGAAACGACATTTGAATTCTCAAATCGTTTCCGTAATATAAAATTTCATAACATAATATAGCCTTTACATTGATAGTCAATACCCAACTTCTAAGAAACAGCCAATACAACAAACCAATAATCATTCCACTCATCGCCTTAGCACTTTGAAAGAAGAATGCAGACCTTTTCATTGCCTCCGCTGAATTGAAAAATCGGAAAGCTCAATTCTCACCGCACTTTCTCTCATCGAATTCAAATAATTCAATGAACCATGAAGGCTTTCGTTAAGTTACGAGGTAATACTGAAAAACTGTCCTAGCGTAAAACTGCTTCGCTCTTATCATTTTTATGATCCCCCTGCACAAATGCATTCAAGAATTGTAAGAGTATAATACGGTAGGGTAACCAGACCAATAGACAGACGATTAAGGACAATTTGAGGTCCGGCAAGAGATGAAAAATTGATAAATCACCTAAATACGCCCACGATGGGGTCTATACCTGAAAAAATATATTAATTATGGGAAAATAGTGATCTGAAGTGGAAACAATGAAGGAATAAATCATAAAATGACGAAAAAGTGGGATACAACCCAAACACCCAATAGATAGACGCTCATATTTAATGGTTATTCAAACTAATTCATCCTTCTGCAGGTTTTAAAATGAAGAATGATTTTTTTCGATAACAATAATCGAACAGATACCGTGTTTATTTGTCCTGATGACTGTTTTTTCACAATGTTCCGTCAACACTGCGTGACTGTTGTCTAACTACTCACACCGCCACTGAGGGCCAATACTGTACCTCGCGAGAATTTGTTTTTTTTTACGTTCAAAATGTTCATCAATAAAAAATGAAAAAATCCTTGTATTATTATACATTAGTTTCATTACTAAAACTGAAAATTGATAACACAATCTCTATTATATTCTTTATATAATTGTGTAAAAAAGTTTAAATTCGTTTTCCTTTTCTCCGCGTCTACTAATCTGGTTACCCTATGCTCATGTTTGAAGGACAAATTATTTTGTTCAATTCAGCAAGAAAATTTGCTCTATGTTTTTTTGCCTGAAACATCCAACAAGTTTACTATGCCACGAATTAAGGGATTATGTGATTTGTGAGAGAAAGGTGGTGATGAAATGAGATTCCGTAATCTTGTTAACCTTTTTTTTTACTTCACGATAAAATGTCGCTTTTCGTCGACGGAAAGTTACTTAATAAACTTAAGCCAGTGCTTTTTTTCGGTACATGGGTCAACCCGGGAGTTCGCATCCAGTTGAAGATTAACTTTTCCGTATCCCCGGTGAACTAAGCTCCTTACCACAATTAACCCATTCTTACCTTTCTTTTCCTGTTACCCAGACATTTTTTTCCCCTCCCGTTGTCGGATTCGACCCTCGGGCATCGTTCTTTCACGACGCATCATGCTATTCACGATGCTCTCGATGTTTTCTCGCAGTTATGTGGTTCAGTTGTGTATTTCATTTATATTCTGACTCCATTGTGCTCTCAACTTTTGTTGACTTCCCTTGATGTGGTTTATATGGGCTCTCTGATAACGGTCGGAGGGCTGACCTGGTAAAGAGCAAACCACAGTCGGATTTGACAAACGTATCAAATGATAAGAAACTCAATGTCCATTTGTCTTGTTGGGTTGTGGCCGGAAAGTATGCATTCAATATTCAGGCGGAGAAGATGCATTCACAATGAGAAAATAATGGGAGGAAGAAGAAGCTAATGGATTTTTAAACGTATATAAACTTCGAACAAAGAAGAAGATTATACTATACGCCTCAACCAACTGACTTCAAACAGCGAACACGGGAAAATAATGTACTTGAATCGAGGATACAATTCACTTGAATGAAGTAAATATATTTTATGCTAAATGTGGGGTTGGGTATTTCAATTCTAAGATTATTCTTTTGTATCAGACCGGGTTGTAGCAAGCCCTCTTAAGTGTAATATCAGGGTCAGACACTAAGTGTCAGAATATAAGGGTCAAAAAGTTGAGGTTGAAAAATGAGGGTCAGAATATAAAAGTGAAAAAATCCTAAGATTAGAAATTATATTTAAAAATGCACATCTATAAAAAAATATTTATTTGAAAACGCACCGGGAAGTTACATATTTTCCAATAGAATTGGCGCAAAAAACCAATTAGATATTTTGATACTAAATAAGAAATTGAATTTCTTCGAGAAAACTCTAGGTTTTTGTATTAATTTTTTTCAGACGTGTCGGTTTATTCAATCAGTTATCACTGGATTTCCTAGGTATTCCTGATGCATTTCATATCTACACCTAGAGGTCCACCATCAGCTAGGCTCCATACGCCAATGATGATGAACATCTCTGGTATTTCATTGCGAATTTCTGGGATTTGGGGAACGATTTGAACTTGACCACAACCAGGTTTGACTTGCATATCAAACCATAAGCGATTCCATTTTCATTTGTCTTGCTGTGTTATGGCTGCAAAATTTTCATTCAATAGTCAATAGGTAGAGAAGATCAATCGAGAATAGAAATAAATGGGGAGAGAAGTATCCAATGGAGCTTTGAACATAAATAACCTTTGAACAGAGAAGATTATATTTTCAATTCAACTGCACTGAGAGAAAAATTTCCTTTACTTTAGACGAATGAATTATTTTCAATGGCTTAAGGATAACCAAAGATTTTGCAGCTTGGTATAAACCACTCCATATATTCAACCGTTTTCAATCATCAAATTTGTCAATTAAATTACGTGAGAAAAATTTGAAAAAAAATCATGAATATTCTGCGTCACATAAACTACGTTTTGCATAGAATGGTTATTTTTTCAAAGATTCGTTGTTTATAAGCCAAATAATTGAAATTGTTTAAACTTTCGGAAACCTTATTTTTTACGCATAAAATCGATTTCTGATAAAACTCTAAATATGAATAAATTTGTTACCATTCCGAAGAAATGAATTTTGTGGTGGAAAATTAATTATTTATGTGGAAATAGAAAGTGTTCATAATTTTCAAAAATTGCAATTTTTTAATTATTTCATCAATTTTACTCTAAAATTAAATTCTCCATTTTTTTCCATTTTTAACATGTTTTCTAATAGTTCAACATCGATATTCGATCGATATTCAAATTCAGACCTACAAAATTTGAATAGTAAAATCGTTGTGAAATATCCGAAAAATTGGGTTCATTAGATATTAGAATGATTTCTCAGTGTGACGTCAAATAATTGACGGAAGATGGAATTTGTACATTTGTTCCTCCTGTGAATATTCATAATTATATTACGAATATATTCATGAATATATCATAAAGGCTACGATGCCAAATCTACACAATCCGTAAAATAGCTGTCTCCGTCTATTCAATAAATTACCCCGGAAATAGAATCATGAGAACAGCGCAACAGAACGGTAGCTCATCAATTTGGGACAGTGGCTTATCCTTAAGCCAGCAATTTTCGTTACTCCACGGATTTAACTGGACGTGGTGTGCAGATATCCCCGATTGTGCAAGCAAGAAATGTAATTTCTAGCAGTACTTCTTCGTTATTCGATGCTCCCACACTCTATTTTGCTCCCGGCAAATGCTCGTTTTATATGAAACGAGGGATAGTAGTTTGTCGTTTCAGCTATTTAATAATCGCAGACAAAAAATGAATTCTTAAATGAAATCATGATAATGATACGACTGCAATCATGTAACTGAGAGACAAAATATTTCCTGCACTGAGAAAAAAAATACTTTTGCCAAGGAATTATTTTTTTGGGAGTAGAATTTTTTTTTCGGAGCGGATTTCTCCAGGCCCGTAATTTTTACTGAATTTCGGGATAGAAATGAGGAAACTATGACTCATGATACACTTTTATAGACCGGTAGCATAATTTTTACCAAAAATTTCTCTCCGTGCAGATGGTCCAACTCCGCCCCAAAATATTACAATTATGTTGAATTATGAGATGATACATATGATGCTACATATGATCTTGAATGAAAATCCCTCAAAATGAAAGCTTCTTTTT